TCTACCCTGGGTGACAGAGCAAGACCTCATCTCTAAAAGAACAAACAAAAAACACTTGACTATCAGCAATTTCATAGCGTCCCACCTAATATTATGGATCTTAATATTAATCCTAATATTGTGGATAGTAATTCTTTATCTGCCATTAATTGCAACTATTTTCTCACTGCCTATTGGTTGTCCTTTGACTTTTTATGGTGTCTTCTACCACTGAAAAATCTTGATTTTCTATATTATCAAATCTGTTTTGTTTCTTTTATGCCTTCTGAGTTTCTTGTGTTATTTAAATTCTCCCTACCTGAATATTATATAAATACTCTCCCAAATTTACTTTTAGAGTATTTGTTTGCTTTACATTTGCATAGTCTGTAATTAAAGATGTATTAAATAGGGGTCTATCTTTGTATTTTCCATGTAATAGGCAATTATTCTAGCACCATTTATTAAATAAGCCATCACTGAATTGAAACACCACCTTTATTATACACTGTATTAAGTTCCCATAAAATCAATTTCTTTCTTCTCTATTCTGTTTCACTGATCTATTCTCCGACATCCTACCCTTTTGATTACACTAGCTTTATACTGAGTTTTAATATCCATTAGGGCAAGATACTAGTAAGGTATTGCTGGTCTTGTTTTTCAAAGCTTTGTTGGCAATTATCACAGAGCTGTTGAGTTATTCTTCACACAAATCTACAGAGATCCCTAGTTGACAGTTAAATCTCTTACACATTTTAATATCTCCCTCGGCTCATGAAGCCAGCTGGGTTCAAGTTTCCACCAGCACTTATGGAGAGCCTCTCATTTATGTTCACCTTGGGAGGCCAGTGCCCAGAGCTTCAGGGAATGACTGGCTGGGAGGATGGAGAAGAGAAGGAGGAAGACACGAGTTTCTCCGGAAGCCCTCAGTATAGGCCTAAGGTTGCTCATAATTGCACCCCACTGGCCCCAGGATGGATCTCCCAGGTAGGTGGGGGTAGTAATGTAAGGGAGAAGAGCAACAGAAACAAACTACCTGCTTCAGAGTTTTTATTAGGAATGCCCTCATTCTTAACAAATATTTAAATAACCCCAAAATATAAATAACAACTCCTCTGCCTGTCAGTCCGCAACATCAGGTATTAAATGAAACATATGAAGGTTCCCATGCAGCAGTGGGATCTCCCAGCAAGTGGTGAGGACACACCAAGAGCCAGGCAGGGGCATGCCAACCGGATAGCATGCCAGGACGCCTACCTCTGCAGGATGGCAGACCATCATGGAAATAAATCAGATATGCCGTGCTAGTTAACTCGGGTTTCCACACAAACTCCTAACATAACCAGGGAAATATACATGTTCTCACTCCCACTGAAGCGAGGGCTACCTTGAGCAGAAATTTAAAATCCATCTTCAGTGGCCTTGCCCTACCTCTTGTCATTTTTGTAATGTGTGTCTGCAGTTTGCACTGTGCTTCTATTATCCATACCACTCAAAGTCACTGGTTACAATTAGTTCTAATTCTTTTTTTAATAGTATTATAAAAGTTTAAAAGTAATATATGAGCCTGGGCAACATAGCAAGACCCCATCCCTACAAAAACTAAAAAAACTAGCTGGGCGTGGTGGCACGTGCCTATAGTCCCAGCTACTCTGGAGGCTGAGGCAGGAGGATCGCTTGAGCCCAGGAGTTCAAGGCTGCAGTGAGCTATGATCACATCACCGCACTCCAGCCTGGGTGACAGAGCAAGACTCTGTCTCTAAATAAATAAATAAATAAGTAATATATGAATTTGGTTTAAAAAAATTAAGTAGTAAAAATGGATCTAGAGTAAAAATAAAATCTCTCATCCACCCCAGTCCGTCATTCTCCCTTTAACTTCCCTCATGTTCATAGAGAGAAAATTCCAATAATACAGCTATGAGAAACCAGTGTTCTTAGATTTCTGATTACAAACTAACATTCTGGTTTATTAAATTACAAATTGGTTGAATTTTATTTTAAAAGGAAAAGCATTCTACTGCAGCAGATCCCACATTGTAGGCTAGGAATAAAGAGGAACTGAGCTAGCCAGAGGGGAGGGATCAAAGGCCAGCAGGAGCTCGGGGTGGAGTGAGCACGGCAGAGACCCCAGATAGGCCAATGGTCCAGGAAATAGGTGAAGTCCCCACAGACACAGGAGAAGTGTGCCCTCACTTCTGGTAGCTATGGGGAACCTGAAGGAGCCAGGCAAGGGTGTGTGTGATTCTGTGGGCTAGGGACAGTGAGGGTGTCTAGCAACCCACTTGTAGAGGCAATTAGCTGTTCAGGGCATGGCAGGGGAGAAGAAGCAGGGCTGGCAGGATGAGTGCAGGAAGCTAGCCCCTGCCTAGAGGCTGAGGCCCAGAGCAGGAATCCTCCTTCATGGGCAATACTGCCTTTTGTAGACACTGGAGGATGAGCAGAGAGAAAATTTGAGAGCCCAAAACACAGGCAGAAGAGGATCAGGTAGGCATCCCCACCTCCTGCTAGAAATATTCACCTCCGCCCCCAGCACCAAAAGTGATGATAGCAACGAACGTGGGCAAAGAACTGCAGCAGAGTATTCCAAACTCAGACGGTGTACCCCATGGCTTCCTTTTGCCCCTCCAGATCCACTCCACCCTTCTCCACCCACTCTGGGCCCCTAGAGGCGGGCCTCTATGGACTCCACCAAAGGGCTCCTGTGCTCTCTGCTTTGGCCACGAGTAGAAGATGGGAGACTGAGAGGAGAGAGGTCAGGGTACTTATTCCCCCCAAATGCCTCTTTGAGAGCTGGCTGGTTATGTCCCTGGACCAAAAGCCGCAGCTCCTGTCAAGAGGCCCTCTATACAGAATTCTCCCTCTCAAGTTTCCAGTGATTGCTTCCTCCTTCTGCTCCTTCTGGCCTGTGGTTTCCCTACACCCTGATATGCCTTTGTAAATAGTCTTTTTATTAAACTCCTCTCAATTTACCCAATCTGAGGGTGCCATCTGTTTCCTGCCAGGACCTGGAATGATACAGATGGCTTGTCTGACAGGACTGACTGATGGAGAGTCGAAGTACCCCTTATTGTTCTAGGCAGAGGTGGGGCAGCCTGCAGATAGCCAAAGGTTACTACAGGTGCCTGGAGTGAAGCCAGGAACTTGAGCTCTCTAGGGGTGGAGACTGTGTCTCACTGGCTTTGCAGCCCCTGCACCATGCAGGGCCTGACTTTTAGGAGGGGGCCCTCTAAAAACAGGTTTCCTCTCTTTCTTCAGTTCAGGAACACTTTTCTGTCTTATAAGGGTCCCCTTCTCAAATGATGATGTCCCTGAAAGGTGGTGCTTTGAATGATTTCTTGCTAAAATCAAAATGATCAGTGAGTCCTTGAGCAGTAATTAGATGTCAACGCTCTGAAAGGAAGAAAGGACCCCAGGAAGAGGCAGGGGCTGAGGAAATGAGGATCTGGAACAGCGATGAAGGAAGAATATGGATGGAACAGAGAAAAAAACAAGACTCCAGAGGCCTCCACCCATCACACAACTTTGCTTCAGTCTGAATTTCTGGGCCAGGAGGAGGTGCTGACCCAGTTAAAGAGAAACAGGAGAAAAATAAGAACCCTCCCCAACCACTGTGCAGGGGGGTGGGGGGTGGGGGTGTCCACCTCTCACCAGGTGGCAAGTATAAGCTATTACCTACAAATTTTGCATAATAGAAACATGCTAATAGTTGTTAGAAGATTAGGTATATATGGTCTTTTATCATTTTTTGAAAGCCAATGTACACCATGATTACACCTATGTCCAAATATATATATGTATATATATAAACATATATAGATAACTTGACAAAGACTAGAAGACTCATGAAAATACTTGTTGGGATACTGGGGTTAGGAAATAATTTTTTTCACTAAATTGTCAATTTCATAAAATTATTCTTATCATAAATAAAAATGAAGGAAAAAACATAAAACAAAGTATGTATATGAAATTGGGCATGGTACTTTATCAGCCTCCTTTCCCTCATCTGTATAAGAGGATAAATAGTCTCTTCCATTCCACTCCACTCCAGGTTTTACAAAATGTGATTCTGAAACTGTTAAAATGAGTCATATAAATGTGGATACAGAGAGAGAGAAAGATACAGAGAGAGAGAGGTTTTGAATATTTTAGCATTTCCATAAAAATCAAGAAATGGGAAGAATTGGCTTTGTCTGTGTTACCGGCTGCGGTAACTGAAGTTTCTTCGTCAGTCTAGCATGCTTTCCCGTTCCTTCCCCTGGGTCACTTGAAGAGCCCCTCCCTGACTCCACATGACCATGGTGGGCAAGTCAATCACAGTGCCCTACCCCCTCCCTGACAGTCATTTGGTAGTCAGAAGACCAAAGCAGAGCCAATCGGAACCTTCTCTAAAATTGACACATGGATAGGAGGACAAGGAAGGTCCCTTTCGTCTGGGGCTGCCAAATCTTTCTGCCTACTACCTGGGTGACCTTAGACAAATCATTTAACTTCTTTCAGCCTCAATTTTCTCTCCTTAAATGAGGATAATAATATAATCCATCTCGTAGGAATTTGTGAGAATCAAATACTATGAAGCATGAGAAAGGTCGTTATAACTTTAAAGTGTTTGTAATATTATTATTAATAAATCTATTGTTATTAAACACAAATAAAATTACATGGGAAATTAATTCATTGTAAGGTGTTGGTCAATGACGACTTACGCCATTAAACCTCCCAGGGGTATTTACATGTTTTAAAGGGACCCATTATATAAAGTACAAAGAGCAGAGCGCGCGCCCCGACTGCGCGCGTCCGGGCCGGCGTCTGCTCCGCCGCCCGCCGTTGCCGAGTGCGGCGCGCCCGCCCGGAAGTCCGCGCGCCCGAGGAGCAGGGCGTGGCCACCGCCCGCGGCCAGGCGCTCGGGCTGGTGGGAAGCCGCCGCGCGGACGCCACGCGCGTCGCCGCCGCCCTTTCCGCGTCGCTGACTTCCGGTCGCCATCTTATTAGCGCCGAGGCGCCGCGGCTGAAAGGCGATCGGCGCCAGCGCGTAGCGACAGAGCCACCGTCGCCATGCCGTCGCCGCTGCGAGTGGCGGTGGTGTGTTCGAGCAACCAGAACCGGAGCATGGAGGCGCACAGCATCCTCAGCAAACGAGGATTCAGTGTCCGGTCCTTTGGAACAGGAACTCATGTGAAGCTCCCAGGACCAGCACCCGACAAGCCAAACGTTTATGATTTCAGAACCACATATGGTCAGATGTATAATGATCTTCTTAAGAAAGACAAAGAGCTCTATACACAGAATGGCATCTTACATATGTTGGACAGAAATAAGAGAATCAAGCCCCGGCCAGAGAGGTTCCAAAACTGCAAAGATCCGTTTGATTTGATCCTCACTTGTGAAGAGAGAGTCTACGACCAGGTGGTGGAAGATCTGAATTCCAGAGAACAGGAGACCTGCCAGCCGGTACATGTCATCAACGTGGACATCCAGGACAATGACGAAGAGGCCACCTTGGGGGCGTTCCTCATCTGTGAGCTCTGCCAGTGTATCCAGCAAACGGAGGACATGGAGAATGAGCTCGATGAGCTGCTGCAGGAGTTCGAGGAGAAGAGTGGCAGGGCCTTCCTGCACACAGTGTGCTTCTACTGACCCCAGCGCCTGCCCACCCTCCGGAAGCCAGAAGCCATCTTTCTGAGCCTCCTTTTGTTAACAGTTTTCCTTCTGATATTTGTTTTTAATAAACTATACATATGAAATAAGTTATACATAAATGCCAGATTAAAGACAAGCTTTTTCTATCCTACTTTATGAATAGGATATTAAAATTTTCGTTAACCAAAAATGAAATAAATGGTTTATAGTGCATTTCCCTTGACATCCCTGTGTCCTTAGCTGTGCTTGTCTTTCCCTACCTTCCTCCCCTAACTGGCTGGGCTATACATGAGGAAAGAACCCAGAATTGTCCAATAAATAAATGCTGCGGCTATATATTAGGAAAGAACCCAGAATTGTCCAATAAATAGATGCTGCTGGTCAAAAAAAAATACATAAAACACAAGGATAGGCAGCACTAGTCTATCCATCAGAAAATAGGATAGTGGTTAATTTTGCAGGGGAGGCAAGTGATCAGAGGGAGCATGAGGAGGCTTATGAGGGATGTTAGTTCTCTTTTCCTTTCCTTTCCTTTTCTTTTTTGAGACATGATGTCATATTGCCTGGGCTAGAGTGTAGTGGCATCATCATAGCTCACCGCAACCTCAAACTTTCGAACTCCTGGGCTCAAGCGATTCTCCTGTCCCAGCCTCCTGAGTAGCTGGTTCTACAGGCACACCACCATCCCAGACTAATTTTTGTATTTTTTTTTTTTTTTTGATACAGAGTCTCGCTCTATTTCCCAGGCTAGAGTGCCGTGGCGTCAGCCTAGCTCACAGCAACCTCAAACTCCTGGGCTCAAGCAATCCTCCTGCCTCAGCCTCCCGAGTAGCTGGGACTACAGGCATGTGCCACCATGCCCGGCTAATTTTTTCTATGTATGTATATTTTCAGTTGTCCAGATAATTTCTTTCTATTTTTTAGTAGAGACGGGGTCTCGATCTTGTTCAGGCTGGTCTCGAACTCCTGACCTTGAGCTATCCACCCGCCTCGGCCTCCCAGAGTGCTAGGATTACAGGCGTGAGCCACCGCGCCCGGCCTAATTTTTGTATTTTTTGTAGAGATGGTGTCTTGCTCTTGCTCAGGCTGGTCTTGAACTCCTGGCCTCAAGAGATCCTCCTGCCTCGGCCTCCCAAAGTGTTAGGATTGCAGGTATGAGCCACCGTGCCTGGTGTGTTCCGTTTCTTGATCTGGGTTCTAGTTACATGGGTGTTTTGTCAGTGAAGAGTAATTGGTCTGTATGCTTAAGATAGGTACCCTGTTTTATACGTATGATGATATAATAACAAGTTTTTAAAACTTGGGGACTTCTGTTTTCAAGAAAATGGAGTAGGCATACTTCTTACTCTTCCTACCAAGTGCAACAAAAAACTCAGCAAGTACAGCTAAAAAATATTTTTTAAAAAGCCCAACAAAAGCCTGCTCTTTCTTGCCAAAGGACCAGGAAATGAACAGCATAAGAAAAGAGAAAGCTTTTAGACAAAAACTGCTCTACTCCAGCTAAATACCACAGAAAAAAACTGTGGCCCTGCCCCCATTCATATCAGCAAAGGCTAAGTGGGGAGCTTAGAATTGCACCCTTGCCAAGTCATAACAAGGTGCCCTAACCCACCCACTGGGTTAGCAACAGAGAAGGTCGAGTATGGAGCCAGCACTTTTGTCCCTGCTGGGTAGTAATGAGGAAACCACGTGGGGAACCTGTACTTCCACCCTATGTCCTTCCTGCTTGGTGGTATCAGAGGAAGCCTAGTGGAGAGAGTCAGGACTTTTACTGTTGTTAAGCAGTGTTGAGGCTGCCTTCTACCTGGGGTGTCAGTGGAGGCCCAGTGGGGAGCCTGAACTCCCACCCCACCCAGTAGTAATAAAGAGACACCCTGCCCCCCACCCCCACACACACAACAGAGGCTGAGTGGACTTTTGTGCTGACCTGGCAGTAATGGGGGGACGCCCCACACCACTTCCCCTGCCACAGCAGTGTCAAAAAAAAAAGATACTAATAGAACAGAAGGTTGAAATAAGATACAGAGTCATAATACCCCAAAATGTCCAAGTTTCAATAAAAAATTACTCATCATACTAGGAACAAGGAAGAGCTCAAACTGAATGAAAAACGATAATCTGTAGATGCCAACACTGAGATGAAACATGTTAAAATTATCTGGCAAAGAATTTAAAACAGCCATCATAAAAATAATTCAATGAGCAATTACAAACACACTTGACTCAAATGAAAAATAGAAAAAATAAATAAACAGAGCCTCAGGGACATGTAGGACTTTTACAAAAGATCAGATCTAGCATTGGTATCTGATGTCTCAAAAGGAGAGCATAAACAGGGTAAGGCTTAGAAAGGATGCAAAGAAATAATGGCTGAAAATGTCCCAAATTTGGCAAAAGACATAAACCTATAGATTCAGGAGGCTCAGTGAACTCCATACAGGATAAACCCAAAGAAATTCAAACCAAGACACATATAATCAAACTTCTGAAAACTAAAGACAAAAAAATCCTGAAAGCAGCAGGAGAGAAATGACACAACAGGAGAACAACAATTGAACAACAGGATTTCTCATCAGGAAACAGAGTAGAGGGAAGTGGCAACATCTTTCAAGTACTAAAAGAAATAAACTGTCAATCCAGATTTCTATATCCAGTGAAAATATCCTCCAGGAATGAAGGGGAAAACAAGACATTCTCAAATGTAGGGAAACTAAGAGAATTTGTTACCAGCAGATCTACTCTAAACAACGGCTAAAGGAAGTTCACTAAACAAAAAGGAAACGATAAAAGAAGGAACCTTGGAACGTGAGGAAGGAAGAGAGAACACGGTAAGCAAAAAATACGAGTAAATGCAATAGACTTTCTTTCTCTTGGGTTTTATAAATTATTCTTGATACTGAAACAAAAATTATAACACTGATATGGTTTTAAATGGCTCTACAGGAAATATTCAAGATGATTATATTATAAATGGGGGAGAATAAATAGATGTAAATGGAGGGAAGATTTCTACACTTCATTCAAACTGAAATATCTATAGAGATGCTTCACTGGAAAATTCTACCAAATTTGAAAAAATTAAACCAATTCTACACAATCTCTTCCAGAAAATAAAAGAGGATGGAACAGTTCTCAATTCATTTTATGAAGTTAATACTATCCAGGTAGGAAAACTAGACAAAAACAGTACAAAAAAGATACTACAAAAAAAAAAAGATACTACAGACCAATATCCCTTGTGAATATACATGCGAAAGTTCTCAACAAAATATTGGCAAATAAAATTCAGAAATATATACAAAGAATCATATAACATGATAAAGTAGACTTTGTTCCAGGGATGCAAGCCTGGTTCAATTTTCTAAAATCATTTAATGTAATCCGCCATATTAATAGGCTCAAGAAGAAAAATCAGGGCTGGGCATGGAGGCTCACACCTGTAATCCTAGCACTTTGGGAGGCCGAGGGGGAGGATTGCTTGAGGCCAGGAGTTTGAGACCAGCCTGAACAACACAGTGAGACCCTGTCCTTAGAAAAAATTTAAAAATTAGCTGGGCGTGCTGGTGCGTGCCTGTAGTCCCAGCTACTCCGGAGGCTGAAGCAGGAGGATCACTTGAACCCAGGAGTTTAAGGTCACGGTGAGCTGTGATGATATCACTGCACTCTAGCCTGAGCAACAGAGCAAGACCCTGTCTCAAAAAAAAAAAAAAAAGAAAGAAAGATCATATGATCATATCAATTGATGACGAAAAAGCCTTTGGCAAAATTCAATACCCATTTGTGATAATGAGAAAACTCTCAGCAAACTAGGAATAGAGGGGAACTTCTTCAACTTGATAAAGAGCATCTGTGAAAACCCTACAGCTAACAATGCTTAATGTTAAAAGACAAAAGGAGAAAATGTTCAGGGTTTAGGGATAGACAAAGACATCTTAGACTGAACACCAAAAGCATGACCCATAAGGGAACATTAATAAATTGGACCTCATCAAAATTTAAAACTTTTGCTCTGGGAAAGATTCTGCTAAGAGGATGAAAAGACAAGCTACAAACACGGAGAAAATATTTGTAAACCACATATCCAACAAAGGCCTGATATTTAGAATATAAAAAGAACTCTGGGCTGGGGGCAGTGGCTCTGTAAAATTTGCTAGTAATCCTAGCATTCTGGTAGGCAGAGGTGGGAGGACCTCTTGAGCTCAGGAGTTCGAGACCAGCCTGAGCAAGAGTGAGGAATCCCCGGCCCCAGACCCCATCTCTACTAAACATAGAAAAATTAGCCGGGCATGGTGGCGCATGCCCGTAGTCCCAGCTACTCGGGAGGCTGAGGCAGGAGGATCACTTGAGCCCAGGAGTTTGAGGTTGCACTGAGCTATAATGACGCCACGGCACTCCACCCCGGGCGACAGAGCCGGACTCTGTCTCAAAAAAACAAATGAATGACAACAACAGCAAAAAAAACTCTCAAAACTCAATAGTAAAAAAGAAAACAAAACAAAAAACCCAACAATCTAATTAAAAAATGGACAAAAAGCATGAAGAGACATTTCACTGAAAAAGATATACATTAATAGATGGCAAATTAGCACACAAAAAGATGTTCAACATCCTTAGCCTTTAGGGAAATTTAAGTTGAAACTATCAGAATGACTAAAATAAGAAATAGTGACAACATTAAATGCTGATGAGAATGGAGAGAAACTGGATCACTCATATCTTGCTGGTGAGAATGTAAAATGATACAGCCACCTTGGAAAACAGTTTGGCAGTTTCTTTAAAAACTAAATATATACTTACCATATGACACAGCACTCCTGGGCATTTATACAAGAGAAATGAAAACTTTTGTTCACACAAAAGCCTGTACACAAATGTTTATAGTAGCTTTATTTATAATAGCCCCAAACCAGAAACAACCCAGGTGCCCTTCAACAGGTGAATGTTAAACTGTAGTACATTTATTCCATGGAATACTACTCAGCAATAAAAAGGAGTGAACTATTGATACATACAGCAATCTGGACAGATCTCCAGAGAATTATGTTGAATGAATAAAGCTAATTTCAAAAGGCTATATACCGTATGATTCCATTTTTATAACTTTCTTGATAAATCATCGAAATGGGGACCAGATTAGTGGTTGCCAGGGATCAAGGAGGGGTGGGATG